TTTTCTTACTGGACTGACCCTTCTGTTGTTATGGAATGTCCTTCTTTATCTCTAGTGACAGATTTAAAGTCTATTTTATCTGATAACAGAATGGCTACCCTTGCTCTTTTTTGCTAACTGATTGCATGGAATATTTTTCTCCATCATTTTAAATCTGTTTGTGTCCTTATGTCTAAAGTATGTTTCTTGTAGACAGCGAACGGAGGCACCATGTGTTTGATGCATTCTGCCGCTCTGCCTTTTACATGGTATATTTAGATCATTTACATTTAAGCTATTATTTAAAATAAGAGCTAATCAGTCACTTTGATTTTTTTAGTGTTTTGCATCTTTTATGTATTTTATTCTGATTTTTCTGTTTTTGTTTGTATTTGATTGCTTTCTTGTGATGAACCTTTTTGTTTTCTTTCTTCATTTCTTCTGAATGCATCTTGTTGGTGTTTTCTTAGTGATTACCATTCCATTACACACTTACAATTGCAACCAAGTTTAACATATGAACAATAGATAACATGCAACCTTAACATAACAAATCTATTCTTGATAGGCTCTACTTTTCCCCAGTTTTGTTGGTGTGTCTTCATTAATATCAATATACAACCTATATTTGATACATTTGGTAGTGGTGATTATGTGCCATGGAGTCAGTTCTGACTCATAGCGACCATGTACAGGGTTTCCGAGGCTGTAAATCTTTATGGAAGCAGAAAGCCTCATCTTTCTCACACAGAACAGCTGGTAGTAGATTTAATTACTGAGTTTATTTCCTGAAAATATTATATACTTGGTCCTTATGATTGCCAATGTGTTGCTTTTTTTTTTTTTTTTAAGATCTCTTACTTATTTCTTTTCTGTGCATAGATATAAGTATTTATTTAATACGCTTGACTCTCCAATTTCTACTTGCAGAGCTGGTCTGGAAGCAGAAAATTCCCAGACTTTATGTTTGTCTGGGAATATCTTTATTTCCTCTTCACTTTTGAATGAGAACTTTGCTAGGTAAAGCATTCTTGGTTGGCAATTGTTTCCAGTCAGTATTTTATATATGTCTCTCCATTGTCTTCTCATCCTTAAGTTTCTGGGAAGAAGTAGTAGTAATTCTTATAAAAGATCATTGGTATATTACATTGCACTTTCCTCTTCTTGCTTTCAGAGTTATTTCCTTGTCGTTAGTTTTATTGGGAATTGATAGTTGTTGTAGAGTTGATCTTTTTATGTTTTTTTTTTTTTTTTGTGTGTGTGTGTGTGTGTGTGGTGGGGGGTGTCTTTTCTTTTTGGAGTTCAGGTAACTTCTGTATTTGCAGACCAGGCTCTCTGTTCATGTCTGGAAAATTTTGATAATCTCTTGGAAAACTGTTTCTGGGCCTTTACTATCAAGGTGTTCTGAGATTCTAAAAAGTGTAACCTAACGTTTTTTTTTTTCTTTTCTTTTTCTAACTTTTTACTGAGTGAAAGTTTATAGACAAGATCATCAGTTTTACATTCAATAAATCATATATGTAGTTTCATCTCAATGACTACAATTCCCTTCCTGCAACTACAGTTATCCTACTTCCTCCCTGTGGTTCCCCATTTAATGTTAGATTTCCTAATAGAATCCCACATTTCCTTTTGGGTTTGTTTGGTTTTCTTTGTTCTTTTTTCCTGTTTCTCTTGGAACTTGAGAAATTCAGTTAATTTGTCTTATAGTTCATCTGTTCTGTCTTCTGTCTGTTCAACTCTATTGCTGAGTGCTTCTCCTGCTTTATTTCTCAGTTTTAGTAGCTCTGTTTCTGTGTATATATATATATATATATATACTTAATTCCATTATTGAGTCTCTCATTTTATTCTTCCATTTGACTCCTGAGGTGTGCTAGTTTGTTTTCTCTGTACCTTTTTTTTTTCTTTTAATATGTTTTGCAACATATTCTAAAAATCATCAGTTCTTTGCATTAGTGTGGCCTCCTTAGAAACGATTTCCTGTTCTTCGTGATTTGCTTTTGATTGGTCCTCCTCTTGTGATTTTGTGTGTTTCACTACTTATTGTTGAAGTTGGGTTATTTGTTATGTTTTTAAATGTTGTATTCTGGTTTCTGTGGGAGTGTTTTCTGATTGGGAGGTGCCTTGGTGGCACAGCAGCTAAGCACTTAATTACCACACCCAACAGGTGCTCCATGGGCAGCAGTTCACTACTGCAAAAACTCCACGGGCAGTTTTACTTAGCTTTCCAGGGTCTCCATGAGCTAGAATTGACTCAATGCCAGTGGACTTGGTCTCTTCACCTGAAAATCACTGGAGGGCAGTCTTACCTTCAGTTGTTTTTTTTTTTTTTTTTCAGTGCTGATTCAGGAGTTCTGGATGTTTGATTTCTGGAATTTAATACCCATGTGTGGGGCTGGGGTGGGAGTAGGAGGTTGTTGGTTGATCACAGATGCTGATGTAAATTGTTGTTGTTAAGTGCCATGGAGTCAGTTCCAACTCATAAAGATCTTATTTAGGGTTTCTGAGGGTTTAAATCTTTAAGGGAACAAAAAGCCTCATCTTTCTCTTGCAGATCAGCTGGTAGGATCTAACTGCAGACCTTGTAGTTCACGTATATGATGTAAGTGGTGGTGGTGATGGTGGTGATGTGCCATGGAGTCGGTTCCAAATCATAGCACACCTGTACAGGGTTTTTGAGGCTTTAAATCTTTACGGAAGCAGAAAGCCTCATTTTTCTTCCATGGAACAGCTGGTAGTTTCGAACTGCTGACCTTGAGGTACGCAACCCAATTCGTAACCACTACACTAGAGTGGTGAGGCTTAAGTCTGCTGTGGCAAAGATGAGGGTTTTCTATGTTTTCTCCTCACAGCCACTCCTACATAGGCTGTCCCACAATGTCCTGATGTGGACAGTTTCTATGTTACCCATCAGTCTGAACTGTTCCCCTTGCCCTGCTACCTCTGCAGTACCTCCCAGTCCTACTGCCCATCCGTCTTGGGCCTTAGCGAGATTCAAAAGGACTCTTTTGTATCATCATGGTCTTCCTTTGCCCCTCCCAGTTGCATTGTCTATGAACTCCCATGGCCAATTTGTATTTCTTAAAAAAATTGGGCTGCAGCTTCCTCAGATTAGCTTCCTTTCTGTGTTTGCTGTTTGGAGTATTACTCTCATCCTAAAAGGGTTGCAATGATTAAGTGCTGCTGATGTTAGTGGGTAGGTTTTCCCAGCTCCCATGATGTCTCTCCTCCCCCTCTCTCTTGCTCTGGACTGTGGTGCTGCAGGTTAATGTGCCGAACTGCAAAGTTACTTTGAACTGCAAGGTCGGCAGTTCAAGCTCACCAGCTGCTCCTCGAAAACCGTACACAGGCTCGCTATGGGTCCGAACCAACTCAACGGCACTTAACAACAACAACAGTTGCTGTCCGTAGTTCTGAGATCTCAATCTGTGCTTATTTGACTTCACTGCTTAGTGGGTTAGTTGCTGGGGAAGTAAATGGGAGTGCCCACTCAGTTTGCCTACTCCTCAAACTCTACTTTTCTATTTCAGAAGATGTGAAAAACTTTCTTTTTTTCTGTTGCATGTGTTAGAGCAGAACTAAAACTCAAGTTGAAATGGCGGTTGGATGCATACTGAAATAGGAGCTGTGAGCCCAGGGCGAGAGGTGAGAGGGTTATACCTGCTATGAATATCTCCCCAACTCTTCTAGCCAGATTTAATAGTCTATTTCTCATGCTTTCAAAGTACTCTGTTTATACGAGGCACAATACATCACTTATCACATGAGAAAATGATTTGTCTTCATCATTTGATTGGCTGCCAGTAAAATGAAAACAAGAAAGTTTAATTTATCTCTACATCTCCTGCAGCATTAAGCATGGCTTCTTGCTAAATGCTTGCTGGAGAAATGAATGAATAAAAGAATAAATATATGAATTATGTCTTAATTACTATTACAATTTTTCAACATGCTCAGGACAAGGAGGGACTGGTCTACTTAGGGGATTATTTTTTTCTCATTTCAAATCTTACCTATTATCTAGAGATTCTGTCTTGCCAGCCTTGTTGCACGATAGATTTTTGTGTGAAAAAAAAACCACCCCAATACAACAACAATATAAACAAACACCTGGTGTATGAAAAATACATATGAAGGAAATGATAAATTACTTTTCATATAAAAGTAAACACACTACTATCATCCAGGTGACCAATGTTGTTGCAAAGTACTTTAATAACAGGAATTGATCTCCTTTTATGAATAAATGTGTAGATATTACATAATAGTAAACTTCACCACCCTGGAATAAGAGGGTTTGGGAGGTGAGGAGGAGAAGGGAGAAGCCAGCTTGAATTATAGAAGTCAGAATCTAAAGGAAGTAGTACAGTTCTATAGCTTTCAATATTATGTTCTGTCAATAAAATCTGTCTAAGGAGACCCTTACATAATGACATAGACTTTGCTTTACCTAAAGACCACTGTATATGTCAAAGATATGAAAATGATGTATTCTTTTAAAATAGGTTTCAGGTGTTCCCTTTATTTTGCTTAGCACATCTATTCCTTGAAGACAATTCAAAAGTAAATTTCAGCTTCATGAGAGTCAAAATTGAGTATCACTATAATATTTGAATTCATAAGATTTTACTGCATTCCTAAAGGAAATCATTTTAGAAAAATAAAGAGTATAGTCCAATGCCCAAAGGAAGTGTTAAATATTTTGAAAATGAAAATAGAAAAATAAAGTTTTTCAAATAATATGCACATTAATTATTCATCAAACTAGATATAACTGAAATCTATCTTCAAAGACTTTGGTTTCCTTGGTAAATTCCTTGAGGATGCAGTTCATGGTTTGCTTGCTTCTGCCCTAACCTCAAACCTTTATACACCTCAACACTGCCATCTATGCTGTCATTTCAGATGACAGTCATCTCTTGAGAAGAAGGGTTCAAAAGTGACACTAGGAAGTTTTAAGATATTCGGGTTAGGGCTCTGCTTATCTGTAATCATTGCCATAGGTACAATTTACTCACTGATTCTGGATGCAGGCTGCAAATAATTTACTGGCCCCCATCCTGGAAAGGAAGAAAAGGAAATTCATGGATTACCATCACATCCAGAGACTTTTCAAAAATGTTCTGCAAAAGAAATCCTCAAAGTCCCTGATATTCGATTTCTAGCAAAGAAAATAATGGGGTTGGGGAAAGTTGTTAAGTAATGCATGTTCTCTCCTGTTTCTGGGCTATGAAGAGAGCAAAACATGGTGCCACTCAATGTGAAACTGGCATTATCTTTAAACTTTGCCAGACAAGAGACTGAGTTTGTGTACCTGTGCACTCTGCGTGAGAGTTCTGGTGTGGCACTGTAGGATAAACACTGGATCGCATGGTCGGTTTGAACCTCAAGGTCAGCAGTTCAAACCCAACAGCCACTCCTTGAAAACCCTGTACAGAGTTGCTACAAGTCAGAACTGATTTGACCACATTTAATAACACAACAGCAACACTCGGATGGGCATAGCTGGAAAAAGTCCACCATAAACCTTATGAATAGCAGAGAAAAAAGAAGAAAACTACCCTTTATTCTTTGCAGTTTTGAAAAGTATAACCCATAATCAATGTCTTCAGGATAGATACACCATGTGCATGTCCTGGATTGAAAACTCAATGGCCCACTGGTGGATGCTTAACTTTGAAAAGCTGGAAAGAATAAATACACTGGGATCTAGGATTACAGAAAGAGGTTCTTTGAAGGAAGCAATCCCATCCATAGATACCGTTGCTAAATGCCATTGAGCCAGTTCTGATCCATAGCAACCCTGTACAGAGTTTCTGAAGAGTGGCTGGTGAGCTTAAACCACTGACCTTGTGGTTCAAACTGACTTTGCAGTCCAAAGCATTAATCTACAGTGCCACACAAGGACCCTCAATCCAAAGCAAATTGTAGATGAGTTCCCAGAAAGAAAATGTTGGGCTTTCCTTGACCCCACCCCCCATTTTTTCATCCTGATGATCTAGAAGGGCCTCTTTCTGCCAGATGAAATCTACTAAAATACACATATAGCATATTTCTTCATTCAGCCATATGTAGGGAGATGTAGTCATCTGTAAGAATGTAGCATCAGGATTGGAGGAAGACTCAATAAGGACCTGTGATACTCAGGTGATAAAATCGTGCTTGCTGACATGAAAGAGGACTTAACACACTTACTGATGAAGATCAAAGACCACAGCCTTTGGTATGGATTGGACCTCAATGTAAAGAAAACAATAATCCTTTCCACTGGACTAATAAAATACATTAAGATAAATGGAGAAAAGATTGAATTTCTCAAAGACTTCATTTTGCTCATATCAAATATTAACACTCAAGGAAGCAGCAGTTAAGAAATCAAATGACATATTACATTAGGCAAATCTGCTGCACAAGATGTCTTTAAAGTATCCAAGAGTAAAGATGTCAGCTTGAGAAACCTGGTGCACCTGACCCAAGTCATGGTATTTTCAATAACCTCACATACACGTGACAGTTGAACAACGAATAAAGGAGACTGTAGAAGAATTGATTCATTTGAGTTATGGTGTTGGAGAAGAATATTAAAAGTGCCATGGACTGCCAAAATAACAAACAAATCTGTGTTGGAAGAAGTACAGCCAGAATGCACCTTAGAAGCCATGATGACCTGACTTAGTTTCTCATACTTCAGACATACTGTCAGGAGGTACCAGTTACTCAAGAAGGACATCATGCTGGGCAAAGCTGAGGCCAGTGAAAAAGAGGAAGATCCCCAATGAAACGGACTGGCACAGTGGCAACAGCAATGGGCTCAAGTATAGCAACGACTGTGAAGTTGGTGCAGAACTGGGCAGTGTTTCGTTTTGTTGTGCGTAAGGTCACTATGAGTTGGTACCGACCTGATGACATCTAACAACAACAATAACAGGGAGAGAAGCAAAATCTCCACTCATTCTGAGAACAGTCCTAGAGAAATTAAAAATGGTATTTAAATTTCTACTTAGTCTTGTGTTTTCTAGGTTACACATCCCTATTCTTCTCTTATATATTATAGTTATATAATATGCATTTACTGTTGTAGTTGTTGTTAAGTGCTGTCGATTCCGACCCATAGTGACCCTGTATAGGGTTTCCAAGGAGCAGCTGGTGAGCTTGAACCAACGACCTTGCAGTTCAAACGACTTTGCAATCTGACGCATTAGCCCACAGTGCCACACCAGGACTCCAACTATTTACTATACTATCTAATACTATTGCATACAATATGTGTTGTTGTTTTTAGGTGTTGCACCATTGTATGCTAGTCCATATTGCTGTAGAGTTGGTTCGGACTCAGGTACAACAGAACAAAAGATTGTCTGGTCCTGCAGCATGTTGACAATTGTGGGTACGCTTGTGTTCATGCTAAAATATTTGGCTTTCTATATATTATCATGCTTTTTTAAGCATCTCATTCAAAGTATGTGGAGTTGAACAAATACTTTAAATGTTGAGGCTTAAGTGATGGTAAGATTAATTCCATGTCCTCGTATCCTATTCCATTAAAATAGTTTATTGTTAGTGTGAACTTAAAACATTGTTTTTAACCTTGTAGCAAAAATACTAGTAACTCTTGCTTTTTTCAGTTAAAACGTACTTAAATTATTATTGCACCAAATTTCTTTTATACTTTTGTCAATTAAATATTATTTTGTCTTTGTTGTTATTGTTAAATACTGTCGAATCAGTTATGACTCATAGCGATCCTGTATAGGGTTTTCGAGGAGATGATGGTGGGTTTTAAATACTGACCATGTGGTTAGCAGTCCAGTGCTTACCCTACAGGGCTACACCAGGACTCCATATATACTTATATATATGTGTGTTTCATTTCATTTTTTCTAATTTCCAATTTTTCTAGATTCATATTTCATATAGTCCATGTTCTGATTATTAATGGAATTTTACAGCTGTTTCTCTTCATATTGAGTTGTGTTTTAGCAATAAATGATGGTCCCAAGAGCTTAACTTACATCATTATGGTCAACTCTACTTTGAGGAGGCAGCTTTTTCCCAGTTTCATTTTCAGTGCTTCCAACCTGAGGGGCTCACCTTCCAGTACTATATCTGACAGTAATCTGGTGCTTTTCATCATGTTTCAATATTCAAAAATCTGATGCTGACACTGTTACACTGTTATTCATGAGGTTTTCAATGACTAAATATTTGGAAGTAGTCTGTCTCAACTTCGTCCTAGTCTTTCTTCATATGGAAGCTCATCTGAAATTTATCCATGGGTGACCCTACTGATATTTAAAAGACCCATAGCTTAGCTTCCAGTTCCTTTTGGACTGCAAAAAGAATAAACAGATCTGTGAAGGAAGAAGTGGAGCCAGAGTGCTCCTTGGAAGTCAGGATGGCCAAACTTCGTCGCTCATACTTCGGATACATTATCAGTAGGGACCAGTCACTGAAGAAGGACACCATGTTTGGTGAAGTGGAGGGTCAGAGAAAAAGAGGAAGATTCCCTCAATGAGATGGATTGGAACAGAGGTGGCAGTGATAGGTTCAGGAGTAGCAATGATTGTGAGGTTGGCCCAGGACTGGGTAGTGTTTCGTTCATATACATATGTTATTATTGTTAGTGCCATTGAGTTGGTTCCGAACCATAGCAACCCTGCGTAGGGTATACAAGGAATGGCTAGTGAGCCTAAACCAACGATCTTGTGGTTCAAACTGACTTTGCTGTCCAGCGCATGAACCGACAGCATCACACCAGGACTTATCTATCCATATCTACAGCCATTATCTATCAGACAATCTCTTTGATATCCCATGCAACTAAAGTTTTACTAAAGGTAATACTCTGGTAGCGTAGTGGTTACGAATCGGGCTGTGAACCGCAAGGTCAGCAGTTTGAAACTACCAGCTGTTCCGC